AGATGGAGAGAAACGGAGATAGGGAGATGTACGCGCGAAGAGAGTGAACGACAGAGAAAGAGCGAGGGAGAGAGGAAGAGAGGAAGCCAGAGAGAGAGAGAGAGAGAGAGAGAGAGAGAGAGAGAGAGAGAGAGAGAGGTATCGGCCACGCGGAGAGCAGCTCCGAGCATTGAGAGATCGCGGAGATCGACCGAGGAAGTTGGCGTGTTTTCACGGAGAAACCGCGACCGGTCGGGGTGCTGTTGTCGCGGACGAGGTCGTCGCCGGCAGTCGCGAGTTTCCTCCGTGAACATTGACCCACCGTTAATTGGAGCTCGCGCACGTCGCTCTCCGCGGCTATCGGGCTACCGATGCTTCTCGCTTTCGGCGAGACGGACAATCTCGACGTGCTCGAAGGTGGTACCGCGTCGCGAGTATCTCTAGCCGCGCGACGGCCGAGCAAACATGAAGAGAGACTACGGCGGAGGGAGAGAGAGAGAGAGAGAGAGAGAGAGAGTCGGGCATGTGGAACGGGTCACACCCTCCGGGTCACATTATTGCCGTGCGCTGTACACGTACGCACGTGACTCGCGTCGCGAGTCTCAGGGTCGACGCAAGTGGGTTGGCGCGTTCTCTTGGCGCGCGGCGCGCGGTCGTTACTGTCGTCCTCGTCGTGTACCCCCTGCTCGTTCATCGACCCCGGGGCGCGACGACGACGACGGCGACGGTGCTGACGACGACGCGAAGCGGCACGGCGCGATGCGACGCGACGCTACGCGACGCTACGGCGACGGGCAGCGGCGCGCACGCACGTGACATGACGTGGTCCCAGGATCGGACCGCGGCAACGGTAAATAAGGTGTCCTAAACAGGAGCGTCCTGACCGTCGCTTTTCGCGTCGACAAGCTTTTGTCCGTAAACGGCCGCGGCAGATCGAAAGAAATCAAGCGTCTCATTGTTGGCGTCTTTGAAATCCGCCCGACGTCTCTCTCTCTCTCTCTCTTTCTCTCTCTCTCTCTCTCTCTCTCTCTCTCTCTCTCTCTCTCTCTCTCCCCTTCCACTCTTTGCCCTCGCGCAATGTGTGTGAAAAGCCGCGAGTTTCGGGGTCAAAGAAGACGCCCCTCCGACAACCCTTTTCTCGTGTTCCGTCACTCGTCCCGTTGGGCTTTTTAATTCGACCGTCGTTCGCTGACTTTTCTCTCGTGCGAGCACGTAATTTCACGGGCTACGCGCCACTGCGACATTTCCCTCTTTGGTCTTCAGGGTTGGCCGCAATTGCGTGCACACGCGGCGGCTCTCTCGTGGCGACCGTCCCGTCGGTTTTCACTCGCGGCGATCGAGCGGCTTCGACGTCGCGCGTTCGAAATCACATGCGAACGAGGTGGCGTCACGTGAGACAGGCGGGGATCAAAGGTCGCGAGGCGGCAGGAAGCGACGGTATTGTGCGCCGGATGTCGTAACTTCCGAGTCCTTTGGCCCCTGACGTCACTCCCCGCGCTGCGCGCCGTTCGCGCGCACCCGCTCGATCGGCCCGAATCGGCGGCGGCGACGGCGATCTCGCCGCGCCGATTCTTGCGCCGCGTGTCGCCAGCCAATAGTCGCGTGCATCACCGTCGAATTAGCCGCGTTACGCGAGACCGCGCTCGCGAGCGTTCTGCTGATTCCACGACGAGATACGCGTGTCGATACGATCGGCCGGTCGAGTGATGCACTTGACCTTAATTGTTCAAGCGGACGCAGGACGCGCGTCGCAGAAGCGAGCGACGCGACGCGACGCGTCGCGCGAACGCCTCGTTCGCCGGCTTGGAAATCGCGACCGAAGACATCGGCTCGAAGAAGAAAGAAAGAGAAGAAGAAAGGAAGAAATAAAAGAAAAGAGAAGCGGAAGAGGAGCTCGGAGCTCCCCGAGTGAGAGAGATCTCTCGAGCCGAAGATCGACTCCGGTCTCGAGATGGTCGTTCACGAACGATGCACAAGTAGCGAGCGCGCCCCATCGCGCCCTCCTCGAGCGGAGGGCGGTAGAGAAAGGAAAAGAGAAAGGGGAGGAAGAGGAGGGAGAGGGCAGGGATAGATGTAGAGAGCGAGAAAGACAGAGGGAGAACGGGGGGGAGGGCAATGACAGAGCGGGAGGGAACGAGCAAGAGTCAAGGAGCGAGCAAGAGAACGATAGAGGAGAGGGGCGAGGGAGGCGGAGGACGTCGCGAGAGGAGAGGAGGAGAGACGACAGAGCGAGAAGAAAGGACGAGAAGTCGAAGAGAGCGAGACGGAGGGAAAGCCGCGACGCGCGATCCAAGAGGGAGAGAGAGAGAGAGAGAGAGAGAGAGAGAGAGAGAGAAAGAGAGAGAAAGAACGCGCGCGAACGAGAACAAGAGGGGAAAGAGGAGAAGGAGGAGGGAGAGGGAGAGAGAGAGTATAGTCGTCGTGAGCTCCTTACAGTGCATTGCCTTTACGAACCCCCCGAGTCCCGTCACACCCCGTGCCCGCCGCCCTCCCACCGGCGCCCCTCTTCGCTCCCCTCTCTTCTGTCTTTCTCTCTTTCTCTTCGTCTCTCTCACCCTCGACAGATCGCGTACGACGTGTCTCTCATGAAGAGATCCACGAAACCAGCTTCGCCGTCGAGCGATTCGGGTCGTCGAGGCTCGCCGGGAGGGCGGCGGGGGATGAGGGAGGGGGGAGGGGGAGGGGAGGGGGGAGTCGCTCGCTGGCTCGCTGGCACGCACACTTCGGCGCGTCGCGAGGGGGTGCGAGATGATGTGCTGCGAGAACGGTGGAGAGAATCGCGTCCGCGTCTCGGCTACTCGACGAAGGAGGATGCTCTCCTTTCGGCGGCGCGTTCCCGACAGCGCGAATCCGCCGGGGGACTTTCACCGTCGGCTGTTTCGAGGGTTACAGGGTTATCGGCTCGTGCGCGGCGATGTCGCACGATCGCGCGTAAACACTTGAGAGAACGGTATTATCTTGAGAGGCCGCGCGCTGGTACCCTTCTCCCTCTCCCCCTCCCTCTCGTCCTTCCGAGAGTATCGTCCTTCCGGTATCACGGCTGTTTCCGCCGTCTTCGTTAGACGAGCAACCCCGACAGCCTCGACGTGGTCGCTCACGCGGAGGACATCGCGCGCGGCCCTCGCGCCGGCGCCGGCGGCAGCGGCCGCCGACGACGCGCTATCGCGCGAGCGTACGTTTCACAAAGCGCCCCGCGTCTCGTCTAAAATAGGCTCGCTACGCGCAGGGACTTTCGAAACAGCCACGTTTCACATGCCGCCGCCTCCGCGCGCCTGGAGGGAGACTCGGATGTGCCTCCCTCCGCGTACCCCGACTTCGCCGCTCGCCGTCCGGTCAACCCCCCTTCCTTCCCGTAACCGCCGCCGCCGCCGCTCGCTTGTACGTTCGTTCTAGCTTCGTAGCTAGCTAGCTAGCTCGCTCGCTCGCTCGCTCACGAAGCGCGGACCATGTCGCGACAAATACGTCGCTTCCTCGTTGCGTTGACGTTGATAACGCACGCGCGCGCGCGCGGATGGCGAAACGGCGTATTTACCTGTTTGGTTTCCTGAGTCGTCATGGTAAGCGCCGCCGCCACCGCCGCCACCGCCGCCGCAGCACGCTGAAAGTCCATTCGGTTACGATCCCGTGTCGCACGAGGAGGCAGGAGCGGCGGGAGGGGACAGCCGGAGCCAGAGGAGTTCCTGTAATAGAAACTCGAGAGTCATCCTCGCTATTTATAGGCGTTTCGAGGTGTTCCGATAAGGGCAGATCTCTCAAGGTGCGATCGTAAGATGATGATGATGATGATGATGATGATGATGACGACGACGACGACGACGACGACGACGACGACGGTGATGATGAATGAACGTCGAAAGACGAGTGGTGGTGTCGAGCGCGACGAGCGGGCGCGCGGACAGGTGTGAACAACCTGATTTAACTTGGAAACTTAATTTACTTTCATGGAGGCCACCACTGTACTCGCGGGGGCAACCACCTTGTACTCTCCGCTGCCCCTCCTGCGCCCCTCCGTCCTAAATTCAGCATTGCGCGAGATCAACAATGCGACAAGAGCCGAGCGACGGCGAACGAAGGAGAGGTGGCAGGCGGAGAGGGGCAGGTGGAGATTAGGGTACGCACCGCGCGGGACTTACAGTCGGAATTTCAATGTTACGCGCGACTCTGCGCGCCCATGCGTAACATGGCGTTCGCGAATAAATCGAAGCGGACGCGCGCGAGCTGGACAAACAATAACAAGCCGCTGTACCTCACCCGCCGCTTCATACGTACGGGGACAGTGAGTGCCTCTCTGTCGCTCTCGCTCTCGCTCTCGCTCTCTCTCTCTCTCTCTCTCTCGCTCGCTCGCTCGTTCCGTCTCTCTCCCTCCCGTTCATTCTCTATCGCGTTACGACGCGCGGAATTGGAGAGAAGGATAAACAAAAACGCGCCGGGTAGTACAGGTAGTACCGTAACTCATGGATTCGCTCGCCGCTTCCCCACCTGTGCGCGTCCGTGCGGTTCACGCCCTTCTCTCTCTCTCTCTCTCGCTGTGCCTCGCCGTTGCTTCTCTCCTCTCTCGTCGTCCGCGTGCCCGCTAACGGTGAATCCGAAACGTGCGCGCGTGATCTCTCTCCGTTGAAGTTGGGCGGTCGAAGGGAGGACGACGAACAATGAGCAGCATCTAGTGATGGCGCGCAACTTTATCCGCGACGTGCCGAAGGCGCGACCGGCGGACAGCTGGAGCCACCTGGCGGCGACGGACTGAGTGAGCGTGATGGAACTTTGTGGGCGATTCGAATTGTTGCGAGTACGAGTTTGAAGGTTTTATGGAGGAGGGAAAACAGCAGGCGTAGGCACGTTGCCACCGACGAGTATATTACCTTGTCGGTGACGTAGCGAGGATTCGCTACGTCACCGACATGGAATTAATTCGCGAAATAACGGGTCTGAGGATCTGTGCTCTGTGTATATTTGTTGTAAATTTATCACTGTTATATGAAAGTCTATAATTATAAGTTTAACTGGAAAAGGATAAACTTTGTACTTGGAAATGTGTGATCTTTCTGAACCAACGTGATAGTTATACATTTGTTAAATTGCTAAATCTCGGCTAAGAATGAACTGTAATTTTAGCCAAGACTCGAATCACAATTTACCGAGAACCAAAACAGAGACATTCTTTGTGAATTTCTAGAATCGCATTCGATTGTACTCGTCGAATTACACAAGATGGCACTATTTTCGAATATTTGCTCAATTTTTAGTTTTGAGGTTATATTGATGTTATGTCCGGCGACAAGAATCGTTAATTTAAATATAATAATTTGAAGTGATATTTGTTTATGAGAATGGCACGTTCGTTTAACATACTTGCTGCCAAAGAATTAATAAGGATTCAGATTGCTAGATATAGTAAGAAAAAAGAGCACTGGGTGAGCGTTTGTAATAATATTTTTATAGTAAACACTAAGTGATTGTCACATCTATGTATCTTTTATTTATTTTATTTCTTTGATTGTTGTATGTAGGCTGTAATTAAAAGGAAAAAAACAGCGAAGCACGTGGCGCTGAAACACTTTGACGAGTTTTATAGTAGTGTTTATAAGAAAAAATGGGAAGAGATAAGAACTGCATTATTGGAGGAAGATCACAAATACATGGCTGTTGTAAATAGCTTTAGTGATATAGACCGCATAAAAACAGAATTAGAGGTATGTCTATATTGCAGTGTATTAAACATCGAGTGCTTCTACTGATATGTTTTCACTTTTAGTCATTAGGTGCTATGAACTTGAAAATGATATATCAAGCTTATAAGGCAGAAATTGATGAGAATCCATACAAACCAAATAAAAAAAGAAAGAAGGAAGATCCAGCAAAAAGCCTGGAAATGGGGTCTGTGATTTCAAATGTTCAGATGAATATAAGACAGTCACATTATCCTGCAGATTACGCAGTAAAACCTACAGCTATAAGTATAACGGAAGAAGATGAGGATATTGAGCAAAATCGGAGTAAACTACAACCTGTGTCATTGAAATCTATCGAGGCAGATATGAATGAAATAAGTTTGGACACGAATCGCATTGTGAATCCCACTGTTGGTTTGAACGGATTGTATGAATTTGTACCAGCTACACAAATTAAGGGTAAACACTACCGTATATCTTCCTATGTCTAGAAAGTGATCCCAAGTCTTCTCATTGTGATTCTAATTGAAATTCTTGTATTTAAGTTTATTCGACGCAAACTTATTCCTTTTCCCTCAGGTCTGGAGGATTGGGTATTAGAATCACAACACTATGACTACTACAATCAAAGTTCAGATTTTTCAGTGAATGTTGAGCCTGAGCCAATATTAACTTTTCCGGATTATCTCAACGTATACACGTTCGAGGAGAGCAACAACACCAGATTTCCAGCACCTAAGAAAGGATCCACAGATGTTCTAAGTCAGTTTTTACCTATTATCGATTATTAATCTCGAAATCTCTATCTATATGATAATGATTCTGTCATACAGATTACTATCTTTTGGATGGTACCTCTATACTACCGGTGCTTGCTTTGGACTTGCAACCCGGTGACTCCGTGTTGGACATGTGCGCGGCTCCCGGTGGGAAAACACTTACGATACTTCAGACATTGATGCCACGTTTGCTGGTCGCGAACGACGCACAGCTATCTAGAATGAAGAGAATACACAATGTCATAAATCAATATGTAAACGGCATTGGTCAATGGCAAGACAGGCTGTATGTGACTCAACATGACGCGAAAACGATCAGTGATAAAGATGTCTATAACAAGGTGACCTTCTTTTCTTACCTTCTCATTCAACAGTTCATTGAGTTACAATTTAGTCTAATATATACACATATATATACAGTCTATATTATACATTGAATCATGTTATTTGAAAGTAAAAAGACTTTTTGCCCTTGAGTTAACTGACACTGTACGTTAACTCGAAATGTTAACGGATTGTTTGGGGTCACTTAGAAATGTTTTATTCGCCCAATTTGGATATCTACTGATTCGTCACTTTTATCAGTTTCAAAGTTGCGCCATTACGTGCGCTTTAATCGCAAATCAGATGTGTATTTCATTCTCTATTATTCTTTGATATAACAACGCATCGGACAAAACTTTACTTTGTAATGTGACTCAAGGATGAATCAGAGGAATTCCTTTGTCCTCCAGTTGCGTAACTGGTTACCGAAGTAGATTTTTATCTCTATTTATCTACGATGAGTACAAATTCTGGCTCCGGTGACGAATTACTGAAAAATGGAGATCCAAATCTGAGCAGACTGTGATCACAAGAGTCGTGTGAGACAAGTGAAATTTAGCGCTGAATTGTTACAGCATTGAATAAGTCGAAAGAGCAAGGATCAATTTGGAAAACATAGAGAAGACGGTTGATCCTCGAACAAAAGAAACGAACAAAGTATCTAAGCCATCGTCACTAACGGTTATCCTTGCAGATTCTAGTGGACGTACCGTGCACCACAGACCGACACGTGCTGCATTCCGATGAGAACAACATCTTCAAGTCAACAAGGCTGCAGGAGAGATTAAAGATACCGGAGTTGCAGGCGGGCATTTTAACGTGCGTATAATAATCGACGTATAATAATCAACGTCGTAAATACGGCGTCGTAATGCGGACGTAAACGTTCATTATTAATAGATCTAAAAAGTTTGACGTTGCAGTAACGCGCTGAAGATAATACCGGTTGGCGGCACGGTCGTTTACTCGACGTGCTCCCTCAGCCCCATTCAGAACGACGGCGTGGTCGGCTTGGCGCTGAAGCAAGCCTGGGAGGAGACCAATTCGATTATGATCGTCAAGTAAGAGCGTCTCTTCACCTGGGAAATTCGGTCGAAGAAATCATATCTTCCGCAGTGGCGGGCTAACAATGTATCCATTTTTTACACAGGGACATGGGGAAAGCATTGCGTCCGTTGAACTGCCTGTACAAGTTCGGCAACTTCGGCCTGAGGTACGGCCACATCGTCATTCCTACGCTCAAGAACAACTGGGGACCCATGTACTTCTGTAAGATCGTGCGGGAGCGGTAGTAAGGCAGGTGAGTAATCGCGAGTTGATGGAACTTGGCAACGTCATAAATCTTTTATATAGATTCGTTTCTACATAAATAAATAAGTATTATTCGCTTTCATACAACAATCATATCCTGATATCTTGTTTCATACGTGTTCTGCGAACGTAAGTACTTGTTAACTGGAGCATTTGAACTGCGCACATGTCTGTGCACTTCTTCGTGTCCGACAAAGAGATCAATAATAAGACAATGAACGTACAAGATCCTTCGCGATGAGAAAAATGTCATAAATAATGAATTACAGACTAAGTCGCGGCGCTCGACGTGACGTTCCTCTGCGTGATTCTATTTCGCCTTGTTGATACATTTTAAAGGCGTCATCTGATCGCACGTCTCCTCGTCCGACAGCCTGGTCTTGTTCCATGGCTGCTCGTTGCCGCTTCCGAAAATAGTGTAGACCAATATCTCGATGGTATACAGAATGACTGTTACAAGGAACACGATCCTCCATGCTTCTATGGTTTGCTGTGAGCAACAGGACGATTCGAGTACCGACTACTTTTGATGTTAGCTTATTGGATTTAATAAAAGGGAGAAAAAGAATTTACACGCTCTGGAAGGCGATCCTCCACCTTTTTTTTTTTTAACTTGAGAGATCGTTTCGTTTTACTCACGTTTCCCTGAGTCAGTTTTCCCACGAATATCGGCACGACGAAGCCAGGTATGGTGGCGATGCAATTCGTCATCGCCACCAAGGTACCGGCGAAGTTTGGCGCTATGTCTATGTGGTTCGCCAAGAAGCCGCAGTACATGCCGCCGATGCAGGCTACCGCAATCGTCATCAGCACGACCGCCAGGACGCGATTGCAGCCGACGTACGACACGCCGATCAAGCACAGCAAGGGTACGAGGGACGCTGCGACGGAGAAGTGCATGAGTAGATTGGGGAAGCAACTTTAACCTAGTTGAAGTAACAGATTATACAGAAAGCTACGTATCAATATATTGATACGTACGTTAACCCCTTCCGTAGCAGAGCAAAATTCAGTAAAATGCACTGAAACCGCCCCGAAAAAAATGACGGGGCGGATTTTTTCAATAATTTGTATACTTCAGTTTTTCTGGTCGCTGAAGCCGAATTTGAGGTCAAAACATAGAAATTCAAAATGGCGTATAGAATATGGCGACTAAAATATTTAAAAATGCTTAATATTATAAATAAAAGTAATTGGTCATTTCTCAAGTCACTAAATTAACGATTTTTATATAAAATCGCTCTTAACGCTCTTGCTGCTCGCTACGTGACTGACTCGTTCGCTGCTCGCTCTTCGTCGTACATCCTCTGTTTTTTTGGTACTACCGAACACTCGGATTCCTTTAGGCGCTGCGGTCAAACGACGCCGAACGTCGCGCGAAATCCATTGATGACGCCGCTGCCCTGTTCTAACGACGCCGATCCCTCCATCGGACGCCGCGGTCTCTCCTCAGTTTCTCCCTCTCACCCTTTCTCACTCTCACACATCCCGTGTGTGAAAAAAAAATTTACAATTTTCCGACATTTTAATTTGATTATAGTTTATATTTATAGTTTTATTAACAAATTATAAAAAACTAAGTTGAAATTCGTAATCAGCGACGCAAAAAATACTTGATAAAAATTCTACAACAATAGTTATTACACTTAAAATTCCATACAACACGAAAATGATCTGGACGCACCGGTGCGTCCGTGCCACGGAAGGGGTTAATTAGATTATAGAAAAAATACTAATTGAAACACAAGGAATAAAAAGTACAGATTAGTCATTTATAGATTAGAAACACGAATTCATATAAATTAGCAACACAAATTAATTAGAACCACAAATTAAATATAAGTTAATAACACACATATACATGTGTAAAAAATTAGGTCGTTATACAAAAGATTTAAGAATTGACCTTCCCCAAAAGATTGACTCTCACTCAACCTACCAAACAGAGTTCCGATCTTCCTCGACATCGTCACCGAGATCAGATCCTTGTCTTGCATGACAGCTAACGCCTTACTGAGAACCATGGTGAAGACCCACATGCATAGGAACGGCATGGAGGACAGTCCTGCGTTCTAATGAACGAGCGAATGAGCTATCGATCGTTATGATTGAATCACGCGTTAGTCCAAGTCAGCCAACCTACCGAGCTCATGTCGAACTTCAAGATCTGATTCATGAAGGTAGGCAGTTCGATGAGCAGCATGTACCAGCCGAAGTTGTTGCAAAAGTGCGCGATTAGGATCGCTATGAACGGTTTGGAGCGTAACACTTGCCCCCACGGGACCGGTAATTTCTGCATACGAAGATCACGAAAGGTAGATCATGGAAGGAAACGACGAAGAATTCAGAGATGAGGCGAACAAGCGCTCTAGAAAGTACCTTCTTGTGAACGTCCTGCTTGCTGTGTCCTAAAGATGTCATGATGTAATTCCTCTCCTCTTGGCTGATCAGTCTCGACTGCTCCTCCGGGGAATCCTCTATCATGAGCCACCAGGCGACGCACCAGATCAAACAGAGTGCGCTTTCCACGTAGAAGATGAACTGCCAACCGAGACTCGCGGCTAGCAAGCCGGACAACAAGATGGAGATCACGGTGCCGAGTGCCGTTCCTGAAAAATGCAGCCTCATCGATTCGCTATCTCTTCAACGCTGGAGGCTTTACGACTTGTCTGGAAAATTCCAGGAATCGAAGTGTCACGGGTAGAGACATCGCGTATGAGGAATCGCGAGTGTCGTGACAATTTACGTTCCACAAGTATAGACCTCGACTGGATCGAGGGGATTGAAGGACGGTGGGTGTGGCTCGGTGGTAAGTGCGGGACACTCTAATTTCTGGAACTTGAACGACACGTCTGTAATTTACGCGCGTCCTTACCCGCGTAAACGATCGACGCGATGATGCTTCTTTCATTCGGCGGCGCCCACTTGGCGATCATGACGTGCATGGCGGGAAAGGAGACACCCTGTAATCGCAGGAAGTTACAATCGCGCAACGACAGATCAGGACGTTCATGTATCTAAGATATTATTACTGACTCCACCGATTCCCTGAATGAACCTCGTCGCTATGAAGAATGAGTAATGAATCTGCGCCGCGATGGGTGTCAATAAAGACGCCGCGAGGTTCAGCAGAACCGATCCGTTCATCACCCATCTAGCCGACCAGAGTTCCGCCATTCTTCCACCGGGCAACAGAGACACCATGTAGCCCCAGAAGTAGGCGGACAAGATGAGACCTTGAAGAGACTCGTCCCATACAAACGGACCATCCTGGAGAGTGCGACGATGGCCGGACATGGAATACATTTTGAATCTTTTTTCTTCCTTTTTAACGATGCTCAAACGATGCTCAATTTTATGAAAATAATTCGACTCTCTTAAATTATCCCGTTTTGTTCTTTTTTTCTTTCAAGTTCTATCACAGCCTTGTATATCGCGTAAAATTTGTATTATATTTTTATTTTTATGTTCCATTTGATTAAGATATTATTTGCATCATTTTTAACATACAAAATATCGTCACCCACCTCGACCGCGGTCTTCGCGACGCCCGAGGTACCGCAAACTTCTTCCGTTTCTCTCGCTACGGTGCTGCTGTTGGCCTCCAAGTCGTGAGACGTGGACAGTTTAACGGCTGTATGGTTCACCATAGCGACGATCGCCACACTGACGTTGACTTTGAAGCCGTAGAGAATGGCGAGACCGATGGATCCCATCGTGGCCATCACGTACCGAACCGGGAGCAACGTCTTTCTGCCTTTTCCCGCAACTGAAAATATAGATTCGCGACTAAAAATAGGCTAATCGGCAGAAAGTTGCAGTCTTTGATGTAACTTTTTGCTCTTGATACCAGATGAATGCATTTTCTAAACGAGGAGTCTCGCCAACGAGGACCTCCGGATTAAACCTCCGCCGTGGCATGTTACTTTACGTTTCATCGCAAGACTGAAGATTTCCAGGAGTAACTTAATAAATTCCGTCTTCTAAAAATAGAACGCCGCGCGACGACGTGCCGCTCATCAGGACGACCTACGTTCGACCGCGCTCTCGAGTCTTCGGCTATGATCCTTTCACGAAGTACGTGATCAGTTGCACGCGCGGGATTTATCGCCCGTCTAAAGTAATCGGATTAGATGACATGTCGAAAACTTCAACAACAAGCTGATGTTTGCTCAATTGGCTCGGTCGTGAGCTCATGCAACTTTCACACAGGCATTGTCGCCGACGATGAAGAAGCAATTTCGGAAGACGGACTTTCCCGATTCGCGTCGGGGATTTTCTCCTTCGGACCTTTCCTCCGTGTACGGTTTGTCGTCAGATCGATTTTCGACGCTCTTTCGATGGCGCGGCTGAAAGATTATTTTAAGAACGGCGTGAGGTCGCAAGACATGCGGGCTGTCGTTCCGAATGCATATCATCCTGATGCAATTCCGGGCTCCGATAACGATCGCCATACTGATCGCCTTCGGGTGGACTAAAATTCGTCGGTATCGGTATGGAGGAATTTGGACAGCTTCGCAATTCGCATACCTGACGACCAATGACGAAATCGCGTGGAGAATTCTCATATGCCAGACAATCGTCGTAAATGCCGCCGGTATTTGCAAAGAGTTGCGTCAGCGGAACGCCTACGAGGCACGAGGTGAACAAGTATCGGAGAATCGATTCCAGAAGAATGAGTTTAGCGAAACTCAGTTTGCGAGAAAATTGACTGGGAGCTCTGAGCGGATCACTCGGCAAGATCGATCTGGAGTAGAGGACGCGCCAAGGTCACGGAGCAGACCTTCGGGACGAGTCGCGTTTTGTGAAAAGATCGTACGGTAAAATCACGAGACCGCGGAATATGTTTGTTTTTCCATTCGACGAGTAATTAATACATACCGTACGAATAATTGATTACATCTGGCCGTCGCAAGATTCGAATTTTCGAGTCGACCGCTCACGACGCTGCGATGAAGCATCATTTTTCTTTCGGATAATTCGCGTGTAATTAAATGTCACTTCTCGAGAATTCTATCTCTTTTGCAGAGTCGGGAGATCAACAGAAAAAACTCGTCACTCACCGTGCGGATTATTTTCCACAGCCATCGCGACGTTGAAGAGCGTCTTCTTCGACGGTGCCGTCGCAGTGTCAGAGGTCTTCCTCGGCGAGAAAGAAATTCGCGATTGACGACGAGTGCTTGTACTTTGAAGAAAACCCTTCACCGTTTTGTTTCCCGTTCATTCCGCAGCATCGCAAAGTCTCCCCCTTTCCTTCCTGTCGCGATCCTGACGCGACGCCTCGTACCTTCCGTTCTTTTCCTCCTCGTCACGAGAGCCGCGTGCCACTGACGTGAAGCGAGAAAGCCGGAGCGCGATTCTCCGAGGGATGCGGAGCGTGCGCCTTTTCTATAAACGCCGCACGCACGCGTGTGCGTGCGTCATGGAGGAGGACCGCGCGAAATGTGCGTGTCGCCGCAGTCATTGACACGGCCGCCGGCGGGAAGGAAGTGCAGGGGATGCGGTTGCGTCATCAGCATCCCTCAGGATTTCCGAGGAGTTTTTTCAGCGAAAACGTCGTTGCTTTTTTATCAATCGGACGTGTACAGTGCAAAATAAGTATAAAAGTCCGCGGGACAATTCTGCACCTCGAGATAAAAAAAAGTGTCCTTTTCTCCCGAGGTGTAGAATTCTCAGAGTGTAAGGAGACCATTCGCGCTTGAATCCTTGAAAAGCCCCACGAGAGCGAGAATTTTAGCTCCGAGTGTACCTTGTACCTTTGCCTTCATTCGATCTCGATCGAATTCGCAGACCACGAAGGTCTGCGCTCGGTGAGAAAAGGACTTCTCTGCTTCTTTTCCGGCCGAAGTGCAGAATTTTCAAATCGTCTTGTTTGCTAAAATCTGCTAAAAGTTTCACGAACGAGAATCCTGCTCGTAGCTTCTGGTGCGTGACACTTTTATTTCCAATCAAACGTTCCGCAAGTCGCGTTTAATTTCGGCCCACCCTGTCCTCTCGGCTCGCTTCGCGCTCAACGTTCGAGCACGACAAAAACTTGTTTACCTGAAGCTGGACGCGAGCGAGCGCCGCGAATTTGCGGCAAGCGCGAGACAAGACGAAAGATGTCAACGTTTACAAATTTATACGTTATACGTAGCAGGGCTGTCTCTCTCCGCTCTCTTTCATGATCCCCGGTTCTGGCGCGCCGGTTGCCAACAGCGAGCTTACGGTGAAGGATGGACGCGAACTTGGAGGTGAACGATCAGCTCGGGGAGATCTACGAGTGGATCGATCAGATCAAGTTGTCCAGGCCGAAGAAAAACATAGCCAGGGATTTCTCCGATGGCGGTAACGATCACGAGACTCGATCTCTCTTTCCGTACGGTTCCTTCGCCAGGATCCCTCGTGGACCTGTCGATGAGATCAAGGGACATTTGATGCGTTGTCTCACGTGAAATCGCAGAATGGTTAATCGCGACGACGAAATTTCCAGTGTTGATGGCCGAGCTGCTGAAACGCTATTACCCCAAACACGTAGACGTGCACAATTACGTCGCCGGCAATAGCATCGCGAAGAAGATGGACAACTGGTGTACGCTGAATCGCAAGGTGTTCTCCAAGATCGACATGAAGCTAAAGAAAGAGCTGATTAATCAGCTGGCCAGTTCTCAGCCGGGCGTTATCGAGAAGATCCTCGGCGACTTGCGGGCTAAGATCCTAAAGGATTGCAATGTCGACAGGGAGTCTTTGTATTCCAATCACGAGGACGGCAAAGGTGGTGAGTTACTATTTGGATCGTTACCAAATTCCTCGAATCGTTCCAAAAACTCCTCTAGTTCTCGAAATTCTACTTATTTCCTGCGCGCGTCTACAGAGGCGGTGAAGTCCGTGCTGAATCCCGATGTAGCGACGAATAAAAGCGTACCCCAGCATGTATTCGTGCGCCTGAAGCAGGAGCTGCAGGAGAAGAACGACAAAATCTCCACTCTGCAACAGAAGATCTCGCATATGGAGAGCATAATGAAGCTGAAGGATCAGAGGATCGACGACCTCACGCTGCAGATTACAAAACAGTCACAAGAACGAGACGTCAGTCCGCGTCCTCATGCGATCACGAAATTCTGCGGTATAAATTGTAGTATACAAAGCAAGTCTTGAAAAATGTTGTGTGCATTCATCACAGCGCATCGATTTTTAGCTGAGAGGTAGCTCTCGCTATCTTTTTCTACACATAAACTGTACATTAGAAGAATACACTTTTTATTATCATCCACAATCATCATTTTCAGAATCTTATATGTGTATGTGTGTGTATATTTGTTTATGTACGTATAACATTAGGTGTTCACAGTCTGCAGTCAACCACTGAAGGTTCCCCACGTCAACAGTATTAGACTTTTAGTCTACGTTACATTACGTTATGATTATAACTTGGAGAAATCACATAGAACTTAGCAATAATCTTATATCGGCGCCCTCATGCTGGGTGGTGACACCAGGATGACACCGTCACCACGCACAAACAGCATGGAGATGTTCCTCTTTGTGGTGCGGTACACCTCCTCATATGTCTCTTCATCGATCTCTACAGTGGTTACTGTTTCTTCCGCTTCACCCAGCACCATGTTCAAGTGTTGGTCATAAGCCTGCAATCATATTGCGATACGACAACTGGTTGTCAACTTTTATCCCTGATATTTTGACTTCAATTGGAGCGCAATATCATGAAAATTGTGTCTTGGAACTTGGAGCTTGGCAATTGAAACAGCAATCGTTAGACAGAAAAGTAGTTCCTTACGTGCAAACGCCCTCTGAGTTCTCTCTCGTTCCTCATCTTTACGTAAATCCGCTCATCCAGGCTCAGCCTTATGAGGTCTAGCGGTTCCTTCACGTTTATCGCCGGCACCTGTCGCAGAGATTTCCAATGTTAAGGTTAAGGATCGCGAATCTACTGTAAACTATGCACTCACTTGTTCTGCTTCGTCAGCCATCGTGAGATACTTTAATTTCAAGATGATTCAGTGTTATTTTGCGTTAACGGCACAACTGAGGATTTTGAAGTTTGCGTAAAATTTGAACTTCACGTAATTGTGGAATGCAACAAGTTCACCGTCGGTGGAACGCTCCAACAATGCGAGCTGCCATTTTGACATTTCACTTCGCTACGTTGTCGCCACAGTGCAAAGTGCGCGAACTTTTGAAATTCAGATAGAACAGTTGATATACTTTAAGGACATCTCGCGCACAATATTAGCTCGTATTAATTTACACACTGAAGAGTGCAAATTACGAATTAGAAATCAAAATTCCTCGAGACAACCAATTTCGATCCTGACTCGTTTCCTCTCTACTCAATCTCCAATTTCAAATACACAGGCCCGCGTCATTACTTGAAACCTGTTTCTCATGTGAGATACTCAGACTCGAGTTTAGAATCAAAGACGAGTTTCCCAGTTTGCGTCAGCGTATACAAGATTTCTCTGCAGACATTTATATAACAAGGGCCAAAGAGAGAGAGAGAGAGAGAGAGAGAGAGAGAGAGAGAGAGAGAGAACGGTATTCACGTTTTCAAATACATCTTTTACATCCAAGACCCTCTTAATTACGCCCGAAGACGCACGTGGTCGATGAAACAGCCCGCCCCCACATCTTCAGATGTGCTTGAGACGATCTCAAACGTAAAAGCAAATCCGGCGAAGAAGAAAGCCCTTGACGTCGCAAGAGAGCCGTCTCCCCGGCGGCGGCGGCATTGAGCGCGATTTAAATCACGGCGCGCTTCTAGCGGCGTGGCTGCGCGTTACGGCACCGCAGCGCCGCCCGGCGGCGTCCGGCGCAGTTGAGCCGCGGCCCCGGCGGAGCGGAGCAACGTAGCTCGAGTGCGAGTGCGAGCGAATGCATGATTCGAGTGAGCGTACGAACACGCTGCTGTTTCCTCCGCCGCCGCCGCCGCCGCCGCTGCTGCCACCGCCGCTGCCGCCGCCGCCGCCGCTGCCGCCGCCGCTGCTACTGCTGCTGCTGCTGCTGCTGCTGCTGCTGCGTGCCAGTGCAACGCCATTTTCTGCGTCCGCGGGTGGTGAAGTCGGTTCTCGCGATCGGTCGATCATCGGACGGCCCGTCGCCCCGTGATCGCGACCCGCGTTCGACGACGTCGTTTCGCCTTGAGATCGTTGCACCGTTCCCGGCGACTTCGTCGTCCGCTGTTCTCCGCTTCCTTGTGCTGCCCGTGCTCGGCTTCCTCGCCCGGGATATGTGCGAACACGCGACCAGCCGTGCGACGGATACGATGGTGAGTAGTGACTACGCGAGCGAGAGAAAGAGAGAGAGAGAGAGAGAGAGAGAGAGAGAGACAGAGAGAGCGAGAGAGAAAGAGGGAGAGAGTGAGTGTACGTGGAGAGAAAGAGAGAGGGAGCGAGATAGAGCGTGCGAGCGAAGCGGTAGAGCGACGGAGACGCAGCGAGAGGTCGGAGCTTCGTATTCCGTGACGTCTTGTCAGTCGGCCTTTTTCCCGTCGCCACCGCCGCCGCTGCCGCCGACATCATCATCGTCGTCGCGATAACGGAATCCCGAGTCTCTCGATAACTCGACGGTACCGGAGAAACGGTATATCCGCGGATGGGCGGCGGTTTTCCGGGGGCGGCACATGGCCGTCGTCGGGGCGCCGGCTGTCCGTCTCTACGTGCAGCAGGGGGTGGCCCTCCCCAAACGCTTTTTCTTCCTCTCTCCCTCTCTCTCTCTTTCTCTCTATGTTTCTCCTTCTGTCTTTTTTTCTCTCGCTCTCTCCTTTCATCGGAGTGACACGAAAAGTGCTCCTCCTCGTTCCACGGAAGTAAGAGAGAGAGAGAGAGAGAGAGAGAGAGAGAGAGAGAGAGAGAGAGAAAACCGATTTTTTGGGAAGTTAGCTATTATCGCACGATAACAATTGGGAGTTTTCCTAGACTTCTAGACCCCGATAATGGTAAAATTAGTGAGAGAGCTCGGTTGGACTCGTGACGCGCGAGTCCTCCGTTCGGACACTAATGATCATCCATTTAAATCGACTCTCGCTCGTCCTTCACAGGGACGACTGGCGATCACCGTTGTAATTGTCCATAATGATCTGTCTGACCGGCGGATTTCGAGCCGGAGGAACTCGACAATCCGTAATCTCGTCGCCGACAGATCATGGTCCTTCTCATGGTAAAAGAACACCCTGTATATGAAGGGTCTGCTAACGGCAGCGCGAAACTCGCCTGAGTAAAACGCTCAATATTCATGTCCGTTGATTTTGTCATCGACAATCTCGTCGTTTCCGTCGTCACTTGGCGTCACTCGCCGTGCGACTGCGGCGCATGCTGACCGAGTTCCGCGCGCGACACCCGGTAGAGAGGAAAAGAGAGAGAGAGAGAGAGAAAGAGCCGGGGATCATTGAATGGAAGTGAATAATTAAGCGAAACGGGCATCATCGCCGGCAGAGTTGTTGTTTTGCACCGTTCGATCGCCTTTATTCGACCGTGTATACCTCACCGTATCGATACTCGAACAAGAGAGAGAGAGAGAGAGAGAGAGAGAGAGAGAGAGAGAGAGAGAGAGAGAGAGAGAGAGAGAGAGAGAGTGAGTGAGTGAGTGAGTGAGTCGCGATACACAACAGCCTCAGCGATACTATCGGAGCACCTGATCGATCGATTTGACGCGCCCGCTGTCGACTCTCGATACTTCATGGATCTCGCGCGGGCGCTTTTCGAAGATTTTCAGCAGAATTGGCCCTTCGAATATGCGCGTGGACATAGTCAGGCGTGCGCGCGCGACCCCGTGGATCGCGTGTGCGCGCACGTGAATGGGCAAACGGGAAATGACGGGAAACTCGAGCGTGAGAAATCGTGGCGCGCGAGGAGGCTCGTTTCGCCAGTGGCGTGAATTAAAGTGAGAGCCCGCGAGGAATGCGCTAACCGTCGCGATATAAATCAGCGATCGTTCAGAAATAATTTCGTCGCGAGCGACACGAGCGTGCGCGCTGGCTCTTAAGTGTGAAAGACGTCGTTAACGCTCGCTACTGGGTGTCTCAGGAGCAGCGATTGCGCGCGATTGTCATGAGTGCTCGCTTCGTCTCGACGGGTCTCGCTCTGTCGAGCGATTCGCGGACGATGAAGAGAGAAAGACACTCGACAGCACGGCGGCCACTGCTGTGAATCGTTAAAGGACACGAACCAACCGAGCTGGCGGGGCGTCTCACGGGGACACCCGGTACGTGCGTTGCACACGAAGAGCGATTTTTGCGAGGCGATCATGCGGTCTCTATGAGCGATCGCCCGCCTGACCTTTTCTGCGTTAATTTATTAATGAGCGTTAGATCGCGGTCGCTGCATGTGTGTACGCATTTGCATGCGCGCGTGCGTGCGCGTGTGCGTGTGTGTGCGTGCGTGTGTGCGTGCATGCATGTCGACGTATCATCGACCGACGGCTGTTGACACGCCGAAGCGTTCCGCCTTTTTCCACTGTCGTCTGCTCTGTCGAGTTCTCTGTCTGAGAATCGATTTACGATTCGACGTGCGGCGACACATCGTACGCGTGTCTGCGTGTATGCGTGCACATGCGTTCGTGTCATCGACGATCGCGGATTCGTTTTCTCCGGGGCCTGCCACAGCTTCTCTCTTTTTTTTTTTTTTTAGGGTTCCCGCGCGCGAGCTTCTTCCCTCTTCCTCGAGCTCTCAGGAATCCTAAATCCCCGGCCGCTCGGGCCCCTTTGAAAGTTATGAAACGTTATTACTCGGATATCGGGATCCGGCCTTTCCACATCTTTGTGACCCACTTGGACCGTTTACCCTCCCGGCTCTGTTGACACATTCCCCCGAACATACCCCGAGGCGGACTCCGCTCCCCCCCATTGGCAGCGTCGACCCTGCCCTCGCTCGCCCGCCCGTGAGGTTATTCGGCTAATCTTGGATCATCTTCCGGTGGATCCCTTTTTGCTGACGCCGCCGACGAAATCTTATCCGCAGCCAATGGGCAAATCGAGTTACCCCGCTCTTCGTGTTCACGGGGAGTTCCCGGGGCTCCAGAGTGAATTCCGCGCGGCCACGACACTCCGTTCGACTCGACTCGCCGCCGATTGTTACCGCCACTCGCGCGCCGCCAAGGGAAACAACCCCAAAGGGACACGCAACGATCAGGACACCCTGTACGTGCGCGGGGTGCAATACCGTGCTGGCGTTCTCCGGGCGTCTCGCACGTCGGCCGGCCGCGTTACCTTGAACGGGGTCGGCCGCGTGTCGCCGACACGTTAATAAAGTACGCACGCCGCCGCGCTGCGCCGTTTCGCCAGATTTCTGCAAAGAGGTCGCAACTGCGATTACGCAACTGCGCGCCGATTGCAGCATCCCTTGGCTGTTCCTCCCTCCCTCCCTCGTCTTGCGTCTGCGAAGCGCGCCCGACGATGCGTTTTCTGTCGCGACGAAGCGGCTTCGATCGACCACGCGGGCGATCCCCTCAGCTTCGTAATCGCGACGATTAAGCCCGGAGGAGAGCCGCTCGCGACGGCGCGAGTCCGTGAATTCGTCGCGGCCCGAAAGTAATAAGCGCGCGGAATCTCTGTTGGATCCGCCGGGGCGGGTGGATCGCGGAGGGCCGTAAAAATACCGCCGCCGCGACGCGCCGTGCACTTCGGCCGAGCTGTGCAAACTCGCCGGGGGAATGAGGTCGTTGAAAATGAGGGAAAATTCAGTGGAAACGATAGTGGAAGCACTCGCGTGATCACGAGAGACTGGCGTGCTCTCGAGTCGAAAGCCCTGAGCGAATTCTTGAATCTTTCAAGCTGCCGTATTACGACAGCCCAGTAAGTCGTCATCTGAGATTCGCGCACCTGATTGTCTCACGCGAGACAATCAGACTCGAATGTAAGGCTCGACGTGAGAGAGCCTTCCGGTCGAGCGGAGCTGGAAAGGCCCGGACTTAATCTTCAACTCGAATCTGCGTATCTTGTAAGTTTCAAGCAATATTTGTATTATCCTGCGTCGACGTCCCCTCAGTCGCTCCTGCGACGTGCTGGAGACGTGAGACTCACTTTCCACGTTCCGAGCGAAAGGTTCAGGCTGGAAGAGTGCATCCCGTGCGAGCGACGATTCGTCCAGTCGCAGTCTGCTTTTACCCGCTGGAACTTCACCGGACGAAATTCCCAGGGGAGCCTCTACGGAGCCCGGGAGCGACTCGTCGTGTAAAGGACGCGGGGAAGCGCGGGTTAAAAGCGAGGCTCGTCTCCGACGAAACGCTGATGTGTCCCTGATCTCCCGATGGCATCGCTCGAGGTGTCTTCTCCTCCTCTCCGTCTCGTCCTCTTTCGGTGCGAGCCCAAGAGGAGCCCCGCGGCGCGGCCGACGGAAAAAGACGCGCGATGCAAAATCGATAGTCCAGCACCTTTATGGTGCTCACGGTTCGACGAGGGCCGTGGGAAATTAGCGCGGATCCGCCGCCGGCTCCGCTCCGGAATATCGGCGCAGTCTTTGCCCCTTTGCCCGTGCAAAGCCGGCGGAGACGCGAGGCGAGCTGGCACGCGATTACACCTCCGCCCGCTGCTCTTACACAATGGCCCTGCGCGCAATAATGCGCTGACCTGACCGCGTTTGCCGGCGAAACTGGATCGTCATCTTCCCGAGCGACTGGCAGGCCGGCCGGCCGGCCGGCTCGAAACGAAATCGGCCAGGCCGCGCGCGCTATCGAGGTCAATACTCCGGCCTCCCCGGAGCGGCTCCCCCGCGTGGGAAGGTCGTCCCGCCGCGGGAAATTTCGACCTGACGTCTAAACGCGCTAAAGTGAAATCGGAGGTCACCGTCTAAAAGGGGCGTGCACACCGAGCGAGCAACGAACCGTGAATTCGGCAAATATGCCACAGCAAACACGAACCGAGCGCTCGTCAGCGCTCGGGTCGCTTTCGATCCGGTTCGTTCACGAAGAGGCATATTAAAAAATGAACACACACTTCGGCAGTCGTTCAGCATACTCAACAACGTGGAAACGTATCGAGTGTCCGACGCGCGAGAGGAAGATCGAGTTTGGGGGAGTCGAATCTCTCGGCGGGTCGCTCGAATTTCCGCGCGGCCGAGCCGCGAGCTGAGCGGAGATTCTCCCGCGTGGGAAGATCGCTCTCACCCGGGGAAGTTCGACCAAGTCTCGTCGAAGTTGCGCTCTCGCGGAAGACGCGCAATCAGCGGACGTCTAATGCGGGAGCGATGAAACACCCGAGCGCTCCGTTGGCGAAGTTGGATCGAGAGAGGACCTGATTTTCGCCGCGCTAATTAACCTTTAGAGGGCCGGCTT